TGGGAGACACAGAATCCAAAGCAGGCTTCAGGCTCTGAACTGTCAGCACAAAGCGCAAATGTGGGGCTAGAACCCATAAACCCTGAGATCGTGATCTGAGCTGAAGTCAGACACTTAACCGACTGAGCACCCAGGGTGCCCCTGCCGTCTTTGTTTCCTTGAGCTTTGCTACATAAAATGGGTTAACACTGTCGTGAGTTTGGCAAATCCCTTTTATTCACCGGACAACCAGAGAATGGTTCAGAGAAGCCACAGTCCAAGGCAAGCTGTTGTGTCATCAAAGAATAACCTTTAATCTTCGTGTACTTCTTCAAGCATCTTCGCATGCTTTGTGGTGGCCAGAGGCAGCGTCTGACACTTGCTGGTGAGGTCAGAGAATTTCGATAAGGTTAGAGGTGTCTGATTCCGTGTGTTGTGCATATTGCTCACACCAAGTGTTTGACGGTCTTCGGTGCTGCATTAGTGCTGAAGTTTAACGTGTGACGCTAGAGGTGTCCATTTGTGGCCAATTCATAGAACCAGGGGGGGCTTTTGCCGTGTGTCGGCAAGGGAGTCCTATTAGTGATCTTTTTCACCTTTCTTCTTAAAAATGAGAACAACAGTTGCCAGCAGTAATGTCCTCCCAGTTTAGCTCTTGCAGAGAAGCTAGTTGCTGGTGACAGTGGACCTCAGGGAGTGGTGGAAGACTTGTGTCATTGCTTCCTTGGTATTTGTTTTGGTGGTTTTGTGTTTTTCTAAGCCAGACTCATTTAATGCACACAAATCATTACGACTGATGCTTTTTGGAGCAGTTGGCACAGCTTCTTGGTCCTTTTTATGCCAGTTGATTAATGAATCATCATTAATGGCAATTAGCACAACACTGAACATACTCTTCCTGTTAACTTGCTGATTCTCAGTCTGTAGAGCTTCTGAGTCGGTTGGTGTTAGGTAGAGCCTGGGAATTTGCCTTTCTACCAGGTTCCCAGGCGGTACTGACATTGCTGGTCTGGGGAACCTCATTCTGATAAGAACTCAAGGTTCTGGGCTCCTAAGAAGTTTCATATCTGGAATGAACTTCAGTAACTAACAAGGCTCGTCACATAGTCTAGGTCACAATGTCATACTGCCCTGGTCTGCAAAGGATACGGGCAGATGGCTTTTTGTGAGTGCCGTGCAGCATGTGGGAACCGGAGAGAGAAAAGCAGTGTGCAGAGCAGCCTGTTATGGAGGCTCAGCTGTACTTACCTAGTCTGATGAGCAAAAGGCCTTGGAATTTGCTGTGCTTTACTCTTGGATCTATCTTTACGGACGTGTTTGAAAGCCGAGATAAACAGCATCATGAATCACTGGAGAACACTAAAAATCTGACAGACGCCCACAGGGGTAAACTTTGTTTCTTGGCATCTAGAATGTGAACCTGAGTTTACAGTTTCTTAGGATAGAATCTTGGTGTAAAATGGGCAATTGTACCAAATAAGAGTTTTAATTTGAATGTTTTATGGAGTTAATAGTGTCAGCCCGTTTAGAGAGTAGGTGCTAGAATAACATTTCATGAGAAAGCCTGCAGGAATGTGGCAAGACTTCTGCCCTGTCAGGGCTGTACTAAATTACAGCCATCTTGAATCTTCACGAAAATAGAAAGACCGTCTCGTGCGAGTGTTGGCCCAAATGTCCTTGATAGCTGCAGATTCTGAAGGCCTTCTGCAAGAGCATTGTTCAGCACAGTTCACGGCGAAGGCACACCCTCCTACGGGTTTGCCGGCATTTCCGCCTGCCCAGTGCGTTCCCTCGTGTGTTAGAACGAACACTCTCCAGCCGATGATCAAATGGGAAGTATTTTGTCACATTATTTCCGGGAGGCGTAGGCCTTTTGACAGCCAGTTTGTACGAGGCAAGCATACAGTGAAATGTTGTAATGTTTTACTTCAAAAGGGTGGGGATATGACCAGAGGGGTGGCTTGCAGACAGCCTGGCACACGGTGTGGGGGCCACTGGGGAGTTGACTTTGGGCCGGTTCCACCGACTCCCAGCTGCAGTTTTAGGGTCGGTTTCCCAATTGCGTGGCTTTCTCCAGAGGTGCCGTCGGCCAAGTCACACACGTGGTGGGTTTGCGTGTTCTTGCAGGGTTTGCGGCTGTTCGTTTACTCTCAAGCCCAGACACAGAGACATTGAGGAAGAGGGGGAAACGCTATTAATAATTTACTTGAAAAGGGTTTCTATTCAGTGAAAGTGTTGAGCAAGCAAACAAGATAACTTAAAAAAAATCTTTGAGTCTTTTAGCCACCAAGAACAGATTTTTACTTACTTCAGTCAGAGGCGAAATCAGATGAAATACGAGACAACAAATAGCCTGTATGCTGGGTGACAAAAGATACCTTTCAAAAATGGGTTTTGAAACACATGGTGAGATCGATCAGGGGAAGTCTCCTTTTTTTAAAATGTTTATTTATTTCTGAGAGAGAGAGAGAGAGAGAGACAGCTTGAGCAGGGGAGGGTCAGAGAGAAAGGGAGACACAGAATCTGAAGCAGGCTCCAGGCTCTGAGCTGTCAGCACAGAGCCCGACGCAGGGTTCGAACCCACGAACCGTGAGATCATGACCTGAGCCGAAGTCGGACGGTTAACCAACTGAGCCACTGAAAGTGGCTTCCAGGCACCCTGGAAGTCTCCTTTTTAAGTGTAATTCTTATTATAATTCATGGGACCGTTGATTTTCTGAATGTGTTAGTGAGGCCCCATGATTTTAGAAACAAAACAGTATTTTTTAAAAGAAATCAAACAATTTCAGGTTCAGCCATGTGGTTTTACTTTATACCCCTCTCCCCACAACAGGTAAGACGGGGCATAGGACTGATTTCAGTGGCATTCTCAGTCAGGTGTCTGGGAGAGCTTCTAGTTCTTTCCTCTGGGCCTTTCAGTTCTGCTTAGCCTTTGGCTTTTTTTTTAAGTTTAAAAAGTAATAGTAATAGTAAGTTTAAAAAGTTAAAAAAGTAACAGACTGGGTGGCTCAGTCTGTTAAGCGTCCAGCTTTGGCTCAGGTCATGATCTCACCAATGGTGGGTTCAAGTCGTGTTGGACTCTGTGCTGACAGCCCAGAGCCTGGAGCCTGCTTCAGATTCTGTGTCTCCCTCTCTGTCTGCCCCTCCCCTGCTCACACCCTCTCTCTCTGAAAAATAAATAAACATTAAAAAATGTTTTTGTAGTTAATTTGGATTGTTTAATGTTCTTTTGAGAAGATGAGCTATAATTTACTGACAGCCCAGCATATGATTGACCCTTAAGGTCGCTTTTGATTTTTGGGGTGTTTGACACTATAGCAACGAACATGTTGATTCAAGCTTTTATTCTTCTGTTGAATTCAGGGTTAAAAATTTAAATTATCTGTATGGTGCTTGATATGTTCCATTAACTTTTAAATTAAGGTTGTTTTTTTTTTATTTGGTTTTTAGAATTTGGGGACTGTCTCTAAATTGACTAAATGGAAAATTGAAAACTTTATGAAGCATAAAAATATTGAACCTTCTCACCCAGGAGTAACTCCATAGGTTCTGGTTGGTGGTAGTAGTAATAGCCGCCGTCAGCGACCAGCTCCTTTGTGTCAGGTGCTTTGTGTGTTAGTGTCCTCTCGGATAGCAGGTGGTATAGATCGAATTGGGTAAAACGGCTCCCTGGGGCGCCTGGGTGGCTCAGTCCGTTAAGCATCTGACTTTGGCTTGGGTAATGATTTCATGGCTTGTGAGTTCAAGCCCTGCATCAGGCTCTATGCTGACAGCACACAGCCTGCTTGGGATTCTCTCTCTCTCTCTCTCTCTCTCTCTCTCTTTCTCTCTGCCCGTCCCCTGCCCATGTTCTCTATCTTTCTCTCTCAAAATAAATAAAAACTAAAAGAAACAAAACGAAAAATGGCCCCCAGAACCAGAATAGTATGCTCGAGCTTAAATTAGTGAACTAAAAATAAAATTGGTTTCTTAGCCATAGGGTTTGGTTTATTAAATTGTAGGCCAGGCAACAAGTTCTTAAACCACAGAGTACCATGGCTTCGTTTTTTTCTGGCATTAACCAAACAGTGTTACTCATGCTGATGGTTCCATTTGTAGACTAGACCATGCCTTGCTTGGCATTTGAATGCCTGGTAATAATATGCCTTAATTGTGGGTCACTGAAGCCAAACTAATTGCTTGTTGGGCTCTTGGATTGCCTTTTTAATTTGCTGTATAATGCAGTCTCCACCAGAAATGTACCGTGTATTGTCGTCTTAGTAAAGCTTATTAAAATCATCTTACAAACCACCGGATGCCTGATATTTTGTTCATAATCTTGCAAATAAAAAAATTGAATTACTGAGAGTTGTAATTTACAAGTATGCTTTCTTTTAAGTGCCTTTGTATCTGTTTTCGAAGGTATACGTGAAATGCCTGTTCTATGTTTTATATCAGTGTGATTGCTTTCTTTACCACAGAGTGTTTCTCTTGGTGCTTTTAATATGTTTTAAATGACAGTAATGGCGTGAGCTTCTGAGATGGTTACTTATTTCACACTGTGTAATTTACCCAATAAGATTGGTATTCATCCAGCGACTTTCCATTCAGTAAAAAAAAAAAAAAAAAAAAAAAAAAAAAAGACTTCTTTGCTGTCATTCTCAGCTCTCCAAACACCAGTCATAGGAGTTCCCTTTATAATTTCTCTCAGTTTCCCTGGACTAACAAGCAGATCCGCAGAGGACTTTTTTTTTTTTTTTGACTCTCTGATCACTAATTTCATATTTATTGAACAGCTGCTGAACACCAGGGACTGTTGTGGGTGTTGGGGATGCCGCAGCTTGGTGGATTTTTTCCCCCTATTTATGATAGATATTTAGTCCTAGAGAAAAATCTTTGAAGTGAACTGTAAGAGCTTTTTAAAATGATTTTAGAAGTGAAGGAATACATTTAAGAAGTGTCTACCAGAGAATTCAATAGATGTCTATGTCGTGTTTCCAATAGAAATTAGCCCATTACCTGTTTCTCTTTTCTTTTTGTAGGTTATTTCTTATGAGAGTCATGGATATCCCCTATCTAAACTTGGAAGGACCAGACTGTAAGTGAATTTGTTTCCCCATCGCATCTGCACAGTTAAGTGTGTGGTCTGGAAGGGCTCACAGGAAAAGGATTACTGAAGAAAGTGCTTTATTCACTTAAAAATAGGCAGTGATTTTGTGGCCGATATGAATAGCATGCTTAAGGGAATGGTACCCTTGGGTCTTGATTAACTCATCTCTCGAGTTACATTTTCCAGTATGCATGAGTTGAATTTTTTAAAAATGTATATCTTCTCTTCATTATTTCATTTTCACTCAGAACTCTAAGTTCATAATTTCCCGTAAGCGCACATGATAAACTTTGAGATGCGTTAGCCGCGTCAGGAACCACACGTTCCCTCTTTTCCACTTACTTGAGTGTGTCTATTTTTTGATGGGGTAGGGTTTTTTGCTTTGTTTTTTTTCCCCCCTTTTCACTGAAAACCTCGAGAGGCCAGTCCATTTGGGAGGCGGTTACAGCTACTTCAGATTAGTTTTCTGCTTCATGCTCCTCACCCTCCCACTCTTTTCCGATGCTCTGTTTCTAGCCTGAGTTGTGGGCCTTAATCCATGCCGTAGGGATATAGAGGGGGGTGACGATCGGAGGGCATCGGTGTTGCACTCCGTATCGTAAGTCTGTCTTGGTGTATCGTTGTCACAGCAGTTCTGCGCGCTCGGCACCCTCGTTCCCAGTTTCTAGTCATGAGTAGCCAGAGGGGTCAGTCCTGGGACTGCTCTGCTTCAGCTCAGCCCGTCAGATGCGGGCGGTGCGTTACCCTCACGTGCATACAGCGAGCTTAAAAGGAGAGTTAAACATTTAGTGACGTGTCTGGAACAGAGCAGCCTTTCCCCCCCTTTAAATAATTTTCATTGGAACTTCCTGCATTCCTATGTATGGTCTGCATAGAATTGTCAGGATTCAAACTATTGTGGGTCCCATAAAGTATCGGAGCCCGAGTCGAGGGTGGCGTGTCAGAGTCGTGGCATTCCAAAGAATACTTTGAGGAGCTGTTTGGTAATCGAGTCATTCACAGCAGTTCTTCAGGTTCGCTTGGGGTTAGTTCAATTAAAGAACCACTGGGAGTTCATTCACTTTTCAGCTGTCAACCTTTTATCCAAAACTTGTCTCCTAGTGCAACCAAAACGCGATCATGTTCTCCATGTGACATTCCCCAAAGAATGGAAAACCAGCGACCTTTACCAGCTTTTTAGTGCCTTTGGTAAGTAAATCACAGGTATATCTGGAGGGTCAGGATTTTGCTCTGTTTTTGGTCTATCCAGGTGGCCACAGGTATATGACAGCTTTAGCTTGGACATGAAAGACTTTTACTCTGCAAGAGTTTAATCTCACTCATGGAGTATTTCAGGGTTTGATATATTGCTATCTTTGTAGTAATATGACCTGAGGAACTTTTAATAGCACCCCACAAAAGAGCGCTATTATTAATCCACAGAAAGCAGGATACTATTACTGTGACTGCCCTTAGTGCTGACCATGGAAAATAAATCTAGGCTGAGGATAAATCATGTTTAAGATTAAACTCAGAACATCTGTTTCATAAGGGCAAGCAAGCAGTGGCTCCTTGACATTGAATATCCAAGCAGATGAACGCAGATGTTCAGGAGGACCGAGAGATGAGTTATGTCTGTGGTAGGGCACCTTTTTATCAGGGCAGGTGATAGGTGGAGGTGAACAGTCTTCTCATGAGAGTTTATAAATTCCCTTCTGACAGTGAGTCTTCAGCAGTGCCTCTTTGTTTTAACCAATGAACTATTTAAGCTATTCTCTTGAAATTTTAGATAAAGTAGAGGCAGCGCAAAATCTAAATGGCCAATCATAAGACTGTCTGTTAATGTTTATGTACCTTTTCAGTGGGCTAGTGTCCTCTTCAACAGGCTGGTATGTAGCCATTTAAGAAATATTTGAAGGGTTTATTAAAAGATGGTAAAGTGTGTATATTTTAACATTCAGTGTCAAAAGCAGGTACAAAGTAGGATTCCTGTATCACTTTTTTTGTTAATTCTTTGTATAGAAGTCCAACTGAGAGGAAGCCTCATGCTATTACCACCAACTGTTTTGTCTTGTGTCTTTTTTATTTTTTTAGAGAGAGAGAGTGCACAGCAGGGAGGGGCAGAGGGAGGGAGAGAATCTTTTTTTTTTTCTTTTTTTTTAGGAGAGGGAGAGAGGGTGCAAATGAGCAAGGGGCAGAGAGAGAGAGAGAAGTGGGGCTCATGTCTCTTGCCCCAAGCAGGGCTCAAGCTTACCTGAAATGGGGCTCATGGAAAGAGAGAATCTTAAGCAGGCTTCGTGCTCAGCGTGTGGGTCCAACACAGGGCTTGATCCCACAACCCTGGGATCATGACCTGAGTTGAAATCAAAAGTCAGACACTGAACTGACTGAGCCACCCAGGCGCGGCATCACTGATGGTGAAGTAGGCTTTTTTATGCTTCTCTGTATTTCCTAAAATAAGCATATATGTATTAGCTTTTATAAGTAAAACACTTTACAGACTTAGTTTTTAGAAAAGTAAGCGAAAACAGGTATATTTCCAGGAAAGTTACCCCAGTCTTTGCAGCCGGTCTCAACGACTTCTGAAATTCTTGTCTTGCTTTTTAATTTAAATACAGATCTGGAAATGCAATTGAGTTTCATGGCCTATTTGTTTTGAGAGCTTTTGATGTTGCTGTTCTTTCTCGTATTGTGAAGTGCTTACCCTATTTAGTCACCCTTTAATTGGGTAAATTAAGTAGAATGCTCTGAGTAGAGTTTTGTTTTCTTTTTTTTTTTAAGCATTTTCTAAACATTTTTTTAAAAAGTGTACTTAGGTATTTTGAGAGAGAGAGAGCATAAGCAGGGGAAGGACAGTGAGAAAGAGAGAGAGAGGGAACCCCAAGCAGGCTCCACGCTGTCAGTGCAGAGCCTGATTCAGGGCCTGAACCATCAACCCTGAGATCATGACCTGAGCCAAAATCAAGAGTCGGACACCCAACCAACTGAGCCACCCAGGCCCCCCTCATTTTTTTTTTAAGTATTTATCTTGAGAGAGAAAGAAAAAGCACGGGTAAGGGAGGGGTAGAGAGAAGGTGAGAGAGAATCCCACGCAGGCTCTGCATTGCCATCTTGGAGACCGATGTGGGGCTTGAACCCATGAACTGTGGTATCACGACCTCAGCCTAAGACACCTAACTGAATAAGCCACCCAAGTGCCCCTGTTTTTATTTAAAAAAATTTTTTTTTAATGTTTATTTCTGAGAGAGGGAGAGAGAGAGACTGTGAGAGCAGGGGAGGGTCAGAGAGAGAGGGAGACACAGAATCCAAAGCAGGCTCCAGGCTCTGAGCTAGCTTCCAGCACAGAGCCCGACACAGGGCTCGAACCCACGAACCTTGAGATCATGACCTGAGCTGAAGTCAGACGGTTAACCGACTGAGCCACCCAGGCGCCCCACCCCAGTTTTTATTTTAAATTTTAAAAAAATGAGCTGCGTGATACTGGACAGATCGTCTCTCTGTGTCTTTGTGTCCTCATTGGAGGTGATGATGCCACTTACTACATTTAAGAATTTCACGAGGACTAAATGAGCTAATCATGGAAGGCATTTAGCAGAGTTTGTACCATACAACTGCTTAGTAAATGTTCACTGTTATTATTTATCTAAAACACAGAAAGTAGAGAAGGGACTTTTGTAATTGAGGAAGTCATTATGACACCTTGCTATGCAGCAGGAAGTGAGCTTCTGTCCTACGACCTGAGGCAAAGCAGTTTGCCAGCATTTGTAGCCTTTGAAAATTTTAGTGGGAATTAAAACTTTTTTTCACTACTAAATTCCAGTGATGTTTACCCAGTTTTGATAATTCCAGTCTTCCGTGTCTTTTCGAGAAGTACAGTAGCAGAATAGTTAGAATAATAATTTACCTTCAGTTTTCTCCAGCTTCTGCCCCACACCCCCCTCCTCCCTTCTCCCCAGCGCCCTCCTTCCGTCTGTCTGTCGGCAGGTAGTTAGCCTCGCTTGAGGGTCTGTCTGTCTTCATGTGGACATCACTAGGTTTCACTCGACTGCTTTCTGCCGCTCTCAGTTTTTTCTTGCCTCTGTTAGTCTGTCTTGGTTTTCTCTGACGCCGCCTTTTCTTTTGTCTTCTTCTACCTGCTACCTGTTTTCTTTACCTGACCTTGAGATCAGCACTGAATTTTTCTTACTTCTTGCTACATTGATTCATTTTATGTTTTCAGGTGTAATTCTCAAAGCTTATGTCTCTTGTGACATACTTAATGCAGCAAGTGGCATCATCATCATCATCCGATGAGCACAGAAACACAGAGAGACTATCTGTCCAGTGTCACACGGCTCTTTTTTTTTTTTTAGTTAAAATGAAAATAGGCATTTGGGTGGCTCAGTCGGTTGAGTGTCTGACTTAGGCTCAGGTCATGATCTCACAGTTTGTGAGTTCAAGCTTTGCATCAGGCTCTGTGCGGACAGCTCGGAGCCTGGAGCCTGCTCCAGATTCTCTGTCTCCCTCTCTCTTGCTCTGCTCCCACTCGTGCGTGCTCTCTCTCTCTCTCTGTCTCAAAAATAAATAAATATTAAAAATGAAAACTATGGGTAAAATTTAAAAAAAAAAGAACACATTGTGAAGTATACCAGAGATGCAAATGCAGCCTGGTAGCGATCTGAGTGGTCACGTTACCTTTACTTTTATTTCACTGTTACAGGGAACATTCAGATATCCTGGATCGATGACACATCAGCGTTTGTTTCTCTCAGCCAGCCCGAACAAGTACAGATTGGTGAGTGCTTTGGGTCTAGTTTTTGTATGTGCATGAAAATGCGAGCTCGCCCTCCTTGTGCTGTGGCTTGAGTCCTCTGGTTCACAAGCATTGCTGCCTGGTTTGCCTAGAGCCGTCTCTAAAGTAAAGGAGGTAATCAGTAAGTATCACGTGTAGATTACCTCCTTTCTGTTCCCTTCCTGTTGTACTTTTTTGAAAACAATCTGCAGATTTGCTTTGGGAATTAAAAGCACGTTGAGAAGAATGGGGAGCACCAAAAAGTGATACCCGTATCATTAAACTCGTCTCAAATACTTGTTTGACAAACAAACTGAAAAGCATTTTATTTGCTTTTAAAATAGGATGGTAGAAAGATGGAGCACCACTGGATTTACTGGATCTTAAAGAATTTTGCTACTAACGATCTGAAAATGTATTTTTTTAGGATGAAAAGTTATTGACTAAAAATATGTTTTGTTAAACGGCTACTTAGTCAAATAGGTTTCAAGTTTGCCTTGTGCTTATTAATGTAAGAGGTATGGAATGTTAAAGTGTTATGTCTTTTTTTTTTAATGTTTATTTATTTTGAGAGAGAGGATATGTGTGAGCAGGAGAGAGGCAGAGGGAGAGAGAGAGTATCTTAGGCACATTCTGTGTTCAGTGTAGAGCCTGACATGGGACTCGATCCCACCACCTTGAGATCATGACGTGAGCTGAAATCACGAGTCTGACGCTCAACCGCCTAAGCCATCCAGGCGCCCCAAAGTGATACATCTAATTAAATTTTTGTTTATTTAACAAGGTGCCACATACTGAAACTATATAATTCTGATACTGTAACTATATGAGTAACTACATATGTAAACTTCCACAAATATACCTATTCAGATCAGAGTATTTTGGTGTTTCTTCTTAATTTTATGACCACTGCAGGAATATAGGCTATATTGTCGTGAAAAGCTTAGGCTCTGCTATCATACTGCTGCCCCACCTGTCCTTGGTCAGGTTGTTTAACCTGGATGAGCTTCTGTTTATCTCTGTAAAGCGAGGATGACAGTATGGACTTATTGGGGTGATTGTGAAGATTACAGGAGATGATGTATGTGAAGCCTGGCACAGCTTTGAACTTGTATGACAGTTATTTAGTAGTGGATTTCATTGTGCAATCTCCTTCAGGAGCCCATGACACCAAGAATAGTGTTGGATACAGGGTGTGAATGATGTTGCTTGCTAAATGTTTCGGTGTTTACTTATTTCTGTGATTCATTCTCCTGCAATCCTTAGAAAGACCGTTGAGATGCCACCCAAAGGGACTGATTATTAGAGAGTTGAAGATAACTTTGGGGAGGGGAGAGGGACTCTGAGATTGAGAGCGTAACAAGACTTTCTTGTGGCTACAAGGACACAGAACTAGAACTCCCGGCCGAAGTCTAGTCACCTCCCTGGCTCCGCATCCCCCTTCAGCTCTCTCGCAGGTCATGCTTGTGTGACATGGAAGCCATGCGGTGGGGCAAAGGAACCGTACTTGCTTCAAAGCCAGACTTCCCGGGGCCTCCCCTTGCCGCCAGCACTCATCAGCTGTGTGTCTCTGGGCAGTCCCTTTACGTAGACTCTCTAAGCCACAAACTCCTTATCTGAGCGGTGGGGATGGTGACGGTCACTTTGTGAAGTGAGATCATGGACATTGAGGGGGGCCCTAGCACTCCTCTAGTGGTGTCCTACGAAGGCTGGGTAATTATGCAGGTATCTGCTTACCCCCCCACCCCCCTTGCTGTGGAGAGTAGAAATGAGCGTGTGCGCAAGCTCCATGAGATGTGTAAATCGCACGCAGAAGCAGGTTTCTTGTTCATGCATGTGTGGTGTCACAGCTTCTCAAGTCCCTACGATGCCACACTTGATGTCCAGTAATGACTGCTGCCTTCCTTGTGATCCAAAGAGGCCTCAAACAGTAGCTTCGTTTTGCGGTACCTGAAATCCGGGAACTGCACTGCAGAACCACGTGGCTTTGGAGGCATCGAGATTTGATTGGTTTCTGGTGTTGCTTCCCCGAGGGCAGCACTGAGTCCGTCCCATCCCCACCGACTCCTCGGGTGCCCCAAACACACTGTGGCAGGAGTGAAGACATGCATGTTTGAATGGGTAACACAGGGAAGAGGCCCAGATGACATTGGGACCTTTTTACCGTTTTCCTCCCAGATGAAGTAGGTGACTTGTCTCTCGATAGATGCAGCTCTCCTTGTGAAGTCTGAGTCTCCGTTGTAGCTTCTTACTCAGGGGACAGCACTTAGCAGAAACAGCTGGCCACTTGTGCAGGCTGGGCCTATGACCATAATTTTCTTTGCCACAAGCCACGTCTTTACCATCCTTTTCCTCCAGAACTTGGTTGTGTCCCACTTCCTGCCTCATCTCGGCTCAAGCATCCATTTCTCTGAATGTCTTCTTCTCTGGGCCGCATTTCTTTGCAGCCTGTCATCCTTTATGGACATACTTTGATTATCTTCCCTGGTGGACCGTAAACTCTTTGAGATCAGGGACCAGACCTCTTGCTCACCACGATGTTTTTAGTGCTGAGAATAGATATTTATTGAACTGCGTAGTGATATTCCAGGTATTATGACTTAGAAATGCCTTTTTGCTGGGGTGCCTGGGTGTGCAGTTTCATTGAAAGACCGTGTAAAAATCTGTTTTTTATAATAGTAATTCTAATGATGAGAGAGGCCTAGGATAGCTAATGTGCTGCACATCCTATTAGTGTTAACTTAAACAAATTATTCATTTCAGCGGAAACAGGGCCTGTTAGATCAATAATGTAACATTGGAAAAATCATTAAACGCCTATTTATGTAGCAGCCTGTAATGGTTTCTTTGGCTCTGTTACAAACTAATTTTTTATTTACATTTAAAAATGGCTTTTAAACTGACACTTGTCTTTTTCTTTTGATAATACTAAGTCTAGCCAGTATTTAAAAAAAAAATTCAGTATTCTGAATATGAAAGTTCTCTTTTTCTAGGGGACATTGTTATACTACTTATTAAAATCTTTCTCCCGAGTGCCATTTGGTTTGGTTTCTGATTGTTTTGTTTGCTTGTTTGCAAAAGGTCAAGGTGAGGGTTTTTGTGGCTTTGTTGTTCAGGTGATAACGCATACAAGCCATACACTGAGCATTGTTCCCTGGTAATAGCTCTTAAGGTAAGGTTGTTCATGATCATGGAGAACGTCACTTAGTGTCCCTGTTGGAGAATGTTCCTCCAAGTACTGGAGTGAGAAATCACCTTTGTCACTTCTGAATTGCTCATTCATATTTAATTAAAACATTTTTTTAAAATATTTATTATTGAGACAAACAGAGCATGAGTCGGGGAGGGGCAGAGAGAGAGGGAGACACAGAATCTGAAGCAGGCTCCAGGCTCTGAGCTGTCAGCACAGAGCCCGACATGGGGCTCGAACCCACAAACCATGAGATCATGACCTGAGCCAAAGTCAGATGCTTAACCGACTGAGCCACCCAGGCGCCCCTAAGATTCTTATGTTCCTGGGGTGCCTAGGTGGCTCAGTAGGTTAAACTTCTGAGTCTGGGTTTTGGCTCAGATCATGATCTCATGGTTTGTGGGATCGAGACCTGCTGTCAGCACAGAGTCGGCTTGGGATTCTCTCTCTCTCTCTCTCTCTCTCTGTCTCTCTCTCTGCCCCTGCCCTGCATTCTCTCGCTCAATATAAATAAATAAAAATAAACTTTTAAAAACCCCAAGATTTTTATATTCCTAATGTAGTTTTGTTAAATGGGGGAGGGGCCCAGCAATATTTCAAAAGTTCAGAGAATCTTCTAGTCATACCCTCAATATTTCGACATGGAGTATTTTTGTCTTGAGCATCCTAAATGCATCAAAGATTTTCATAGTAATAGCTTGAGAAAAAGAACCTTTCAATTTATGCTGAAAGCTAGAAATTACAGCACACTACCAGAAATATTTAGAAAGCAGAACTTGGTAAAGGCACTTTACAAGAGGTAGAAACCTGACAATTATTTTGTGAAGCCAGCGGGTAGTTGTATAAATTTCTGACACGCTGCCTTTAGGAGGGGCTTGTTGAGGACAGTCTGTGGGGATGGAGGGAGAAACTTGCCCTGCTTTGGTTTCAAGTGAGCGTGTTTATATTAAATTGTACTTTGAAACACACAGCTTTTACTTTCGCAGAACAGATAAATATTCGAGCTGTGGATACACCCTGAGGCAGTTGTTCAGCACTGATTTGCTAAAGGGCGCTTCCAACTTTAAAATTTACCTGTGGCTTCTGTTTTCCTTTTAATGTCTGTGGAATTTGTAGTGCTAACGGCTTGCTTCATACATGATATTAGTGATCTGTGTTCTTATGTTTCCTTGATCACATTAGGTGGGGGTTGCTCATTTTGACGGTCTCTTCAGAGAACCAGCTTTTGGTTTAATTCATTTTTCTGTATTGTTTGTTATTGTCTATTTACTGGGTTTCTTCCTTTCTTTTCCTTCCCTTTTTCCTTCTTTTATTTGCTTTGTGTTTACTTTGCCCTTCCTTTTCTTACTTCTTGAGGTAGAACCTTATGTGATTTTTATTTTATTTTATTATTTGTTATTTTTGGGGGGATGCAAAAGGTGATTTTATTAAAGCATGGGGACAGGGCCCATGGGCAGAAAGAGCTGCCGTCTGTGATTGATTTTTAAACATTCTTCTGAAATCGTTTATGCCTGGCTTCCTAGAGGTTGCCCCTGGGTCACTTAGCTCCGTGGTCAGCCAGTGACTGGTCAAGTATGTGCTTAAACACCTTGGAACGGTGAGACCTCCACCTTTGGGCAGCTGGGTTGGGGAAGACGTGCGCCAGGTAAGCAGTTTGCACGTCTGCCCCGTTTCTTACGTTCAGCTGTACCTCCTTGTCTTGTGTGTGGGTGTGAAGCCCTCATGGCCAGCCAGCACTGTGGAGGTAGCCGAGACTCTTTCCTAGCTGTTGACTTTGACCTTTTTTTGTTCCTAATATAAAATTTTAGAGCCA